ACCTTTGACCTTTTGCAACGTTTTGATTTAAGTAGCCTATTATTAAAAGGATAATGATATCGCACACCGTTGCGATATGCATATTGCGATATTTACATTTGCGATATTTCGATAATTTCAATATATCATGCAGCCCTAGTTGCATGTTTAATTTCCTCTTTACCACACAGTTCATCTGTTGATATGAGTATTTTGCCAGCTATGTGTAACTTGGTTAAGAGGTCAGCCCAGGTTCCAAGCCCCAAGTGACCTCTGTTCGCACGCTATACCATAGTGATGGATTAACACCTAACCTGTGCTGAAATTATAGCTGTGGTGCATATGATTTAACACTCTGACACTTCGCTTGAATGGAATCAAGTTCCATTCATTAATGAGTCATTCTTTCTGTACTAAGAATTGATAAACATATCCTCTTCTGTGAATTGATGATGAATTTGGCTGTTTAAAGCTGTTTCATAACCTAGTGAGCTGTGTCACTGCCCGCTACCTACATATGCAGCAGCCTTCCAAGGCAGCGTCCTTACCGTCATGGAATCTTAAAAGTGACAGACTTGAAACACTATATTAACAGCACTTCCGTAGTAGAGGTCTTCTCGGGGCCTAAAATCTGTACCCGACCCGAATCACTTCTTACCCGAACCCGACGTGCATAAATACATTTTTTTAAAAGAAAAATCCAACCCGAGACAGACCCGATGAAATTAGCCCAGAGTCCGACCCGACAGCATTTAATTTCGAACCCGACTGGTCCCGAACGTAAACGGCATTGACGTGTGTACAGCCTGCAGCCCTGCAGTCAGTCAGGAAAAATCCCGGTGTCCTGCTGACTGATTTGGCCGCTTCTCCATTACTTTGATTTATTTAACATTTATTCAATTTATTATTAGGCTACTTTATATTAGTGCCTGCCTGATGGATACAAGTTAGCCTATTTCTGAGCTCGGCTTTCAATTGTGACCAGTGGATTTGAAAAAGACTACTGGAATTTTTAAGCAAAGGGAGCTCTCCTCTTCCTCAGTTTGGGAAGGGGAGGTGGTGGCGCAGAGTTGCCTACCTCTGGGAAAGCTGCAGTAAACTCAACCACCTATGGGGGAGTCAGGTGAGGTGGACATGAAGCATGAATGTTGGGACTCTAAAGTAGAGGTCTTCTCGGGTCCTAAAATCTGTACCCGACCCGAATCACTTCTTACCCGAACCCGACGTGCATAAATACATTTTTTTAAAAGAAAAATCCAACCCGAGACAGACCCGATGAAATTAGCCCAGAGTCCGACCCGACAGCATTTAATTTCGAACCCGACTGGTCCCGAACGTAAACGGCATTGACGTGTGTACAGCCTGCAGTTTAAAAGAATTCGGGTCAAATCAGGTCCATTTGGAAAAAGCATGTTTATTTTAAATTACCCGAGGCCGCTAATACCGAACCCGACCCGTGTCCGAGGTACTCGTCGAAGTATTGGACCCGAACTCGGTCTCTGGTCGGATCTCGGGTTTTCGGATCCAAGTGGACCCGTGAAGACCTCTACTCTGTAGGCCTCAAAAATAATGCTGCCTGCACATGAGAGAACTGACTTTGCATTGATGTTGATGTTAGCATATTTCTCAGCTAATAAACAATGTTCTAACATTTTGTTTGTGCTTTTCAGCATTGAATGAATTTGTATTTATAATCAATAGTTTGCCATTTTGAATATGTGGAGATTTTTTTTTCACTTAGCTTGTTGCTGTGCATTCTGGGATTGTAACATGATTTATAATGTCATGTCAATTAGGGTTGTGACGGTGAGGAAATTTTCCCACCGGTTAATCGATGTGTGACAACACCGGTAATACCGGTATCACCGCGAGGGCGGGGCGTTCCCTCTTTTCCTCGCTTTCCTTCGCTTTTAAATAGCTTGTAAAAGCGGTGTGCCCATTTTACTTTCACTTTAAAATAGCGGCAATTCAGAGTAAAGCAATTGTTCGTTTTAATTTTTCCTCGCCTTCCTTCGCTTTTAAATAGCTTAAAAGCGCCGTGTGCATTTTACTTTCACTTTCGAATTAGCGGCAGTTAGGCCTCAATTGCTTGAATGCAACAACAAAATACAATGTCAAACTCACTTTAGCGTATATATAAAACATAGAACTTTTATTAACAAAACAAATAAAAATACACCATGCTATAGGGCAAGCTATGCCTAATATAAAATAACAAATAACTTGCATAAAGTTTAATAGGTATACAAAACTGGAAATAAGTAAACATGTATAATATATAACCAAATAAATAAGAACCGTATAACGTTTAGTAGCTAAATGAATGTCAAATAAAATAAATAAATGACACAGTTTAA